GATCCACTGGAGAAACAATACCCTGGGTGGGCGGGGTGGGATGGAGGCGGGGTAGGAGGGGGCGCGAGTAAACTGGCGAGTGGTTGGGTGCCAACCTGGCAGGTCTAAGCGATTTTTTCCCTTCTGGCAAGAAAGCCCCAGGAAAGCAGCGACCGGCTCCGGCGGGGCCTGGCCTGGGGACTGGGTTGGGGGAGTGACAGGAGGCCGGGAAGCGGAGCAGCGGGGCCTCCCCGCCGCCCCCGGGGTGAGCACGGGGTGGGTGGGGGGGGGAGAGGCACGGGGAGGTGCTGTCTCTAACGGGCCTGGCGGGGCCAGGGCCTTGTGTGGCGGGCGGGTGTCAGGCCGCCGGTGCAGGCGGCGGAGGCCTGGGCCCACCTCGCACATGGCCGGCGGCGGGGTCCGCGCGCGGAGGTGTGTGTGTGTGGGAGGCCCCGGTACCTGAGGGTCGGGCGGCGGCTGCTGCTTCCGCGAGCCTCCGGTGGCCGGCCAAGGCCTGGGGGGTGCCCTCACTCTCGTTCCTCACCCGCCTCTCTCCCGGATTTTTCCCCTCTTTGCCTTCCCTCGTTCCCTCTTCCTCACTCGGGAGCCGCAAGATGGCGGCGCCGGGGCCGATCACGTGAGACGCGGGCGGGTCAGGTGACCCTGCTGGTCGGGAGGGACGTGGGCGGGCGTAGCGATAAGCCACGCCCACCAAGGCAAACCCGGGCACTTGCTCTTCTGGCGGGAAAGAGCGAACGGGTGGGCTGCTTGTGGGGTTCGGGCCTCACCTTGGCTCTGGCGGGGTGTCGGGGGGCTTTGAACCGTCCTGTCCTGGGTTGGAGAGGTCTAGAAGTCGGTGAAAGTTCACTGTGTACTCAGGTAAACGTTCCGTGTGCCGATCTGAGCACCACCCCACCTGACCACAGTTACCCTACCGCTAAAGGCTTTGGCTTTCTGACCATACTTGTGGATGCGAACAGAGTTGAGATCTAATTACTTTTTTAAAATATTACTTTATTATTGAGGTGATTGTTTTATGCCAATCCTGGAGCTTGAACTCAGGGCCTAGGCACTGTGCCTTAGCTTTTTTATTCAAGGCTGGCACTCTACCACTTAAGCCACAGCTCCATGTCTGGCCTTTTGGTGGTTAATTGAAGAGCTTCGTGGGCTTTCCTGCCGGGGCTGGCTTCAAACCCTGACCCTCAGAGCTCATCCTCCTGAGTAGCTAGGATTACAAGCATGAGTCGATGGTGCCTGGCAGGAATCTTCTTTCTTTTCTTTCTCCCTTCCTCTTTCTTTCCTTTCTTGTTGGTCCTGGGGCTTGAACTCTGGGCCTAGGTGTTCTTCCTCAGCTCTTCAGCTCAAGGCCAGTGCTCTACCACTTGAGCCACAGCACCACTTCCTTCTTTCTTTTCTTTCTTTCTTTTTTTTTTTTTTTGAGGCTTTCTCATCTTAAATGTAGAAGTCCTAGCTAAGGCTTTAATCCAGAAATGTCTGAGTAGGGGCAGTGCTAGCCCTAAGAGGTCAATTTGCTTAACAGCATTTTCTGAGTTTGTAAGGACAAATATGGTTAATTTCCACAACATAACACAACTTTGCTGAAGGCCACCATAGTGTTTGTCATTTGGAATATACAACAGGATGTGAGCAGTCCTGTTTGGGGGTCCACTGCTAATATGTTGACATACAAAGTGAGTAATACACAGTGTTTTCCAAGAACACTAGCTTGTCTGTATTACATACACATACATATACATATACATATGCCTGTACTGGAGCTTGAGCTCAAGACCTTGTACTCTTACTTGGCTTTTTTTTTTTTTTTTTTTGCTGAGGATTGTGGTTTGAAACCAGCTTAGGCAGGAAAGTGTATGAGACTCGTGAAGGTTTGACTCCCACAGTTATCCCAGGCAAAATCCCAGGTATGTGCGAACTTGTTTGATGTGCTGGAAGGGCAATCCACATAAGCCCAGCTGTAAACATCCCATTGTGAGCCCAACTGAAAAGCCTCCACCTCCTTTGACCTAGCGGCTTTTTCATTCACCTCTGCCTCCTGGCTTAGTGAGACCTCCTATAAACACCCAGCTCTTGTCCCAACTCTCTGGCACAACTCCAAACCTGCAGGAAGGTCTGTGTCCCTCACTGTTCCTTAATAAACAATCCTCGCCTGTTGATGATCGAGTCCAGCCTATTCCTTTTCCATTCTCCTCCATTTTCCCAACAACTCTTATTTCCAGTTAACCACCAAAAAGCCAAAAGTGGAGATGTAGCTCCAGTGGTAGGAGAGCCAGCCTTGAGCAGAAAAAGCTAAGGGTTGTAAGGTATATTAAATAGGTAGGTTTCATTAGGTAGCCGGTGAAGAGAATACCACGTAAGGGTTGTAAGGTATATTAAATAGGTAGGTTTCATTAGGTAGCCGGTGAAGAGAACACCATGAGCTATTCAGGCAGAAGTTTATTTAGTGAACTGCTGCCCTGGCCGTGCATGTTGGAGAGGCATGGATGAAAAGGAAAAGCGGACCACCCACCCCTGGGCCAGGACATATCTAGGCCAGGGACTGGAAGAGGTGTGGCCAGGTAGGGGCAAAGGTGTGGCCACACTAGATGCAGATGTGACCTCAGAGTCACATCCTCTGACCTCCTAAGGTCAGATGGGAATCATGTGACCAGAGGTGGCCCAGGCTGTGACCTAGCAGGAGGGGAAAGTGACTGCTTCCCGGTCTGCCAATTGCCTAGGTAACAGATATTGGGTGGAGACTTAGCCAAGAGGTAGGGAGGTGTCCTTCTGCAGACCTTACAAGGGTGAGCTCCCAGGCCCTGAGTTCAAGCCCCAGTCCCAGTACCAAAAGGAAAAAAAAAAGGAGGAAGAGAGAGAGAAGAGGAGAAAAGGGAGAGAATATAGGATACCAAATCTGGCTTAAAACAGACAACTTCAGAAACTTGTGATACATAAACGTTAGCATTTCTTTTTCCTATAGAACTCTCCAGAAAAAAAAAAAATCACAGCAAGTCAGAGGAATGCAGACCTTCGGGTGCTTCAGGTGTAGTTGCATTCAACTTGCAGAACATCACATCTAAACTCTTCTCCCACCTTTCTCCTGCTGCAGAATGTTATTTGTCATGATTTAATTAACAATCATCGTAAGATTCAGTGTTTCAGATAGGAAACTTGCTTACTGAGTTATCTCACATCTACTCAATGGATTCTGATTCTCTTCCCAGATGAGAGATAACCCAGATGGCTAGTCCTGTCTCATTATTCTATTTGGAGCTCATTAATTAGTTGATAAGGTTAAAGTTTGATTCTTCTACAAGAATCATGGGTCTGTATCTCCCAAAGTGACCCAGGAGTCTGATAACACAGAGTGCTTTACAACTTAAACCAGAACATTCTACAAATTTGGGGGATAAGAATAGTGTATGAAGTTGCAAGACACCAAATCACTTGAAATATGTGGAGTCCTATTTGTTTCTAGCCATGATACTTCTGAAGGACACCTTATCTTTGGTGCACTAAGGTTATATATTTTTTTTCTTGAAAGGATTAATCTTTTTTCTTTTTTACTTGTGTCAGTACTGAGCCTTGAACTCAGGGCCTCATGGTTTGGTTGGCCTTTTTTGTTTGTCAGTCAGGGGGCTTGAACTCAGGGCCTGGGCTCTGTCCCTGAGCTCTTTTGCTCAAGGCTAGTGCTCTTGAGCCACAACACCACTGACAGTTTTCTGGGGATTCATTGGAGAAAAAAGTCTCATGGGGACTTTGCTGCTTGGGCTGGCTTCAAACTGTTATCTTCAAATCTGAGCCTCCTAAATATCTATAGGATTACTAGTCTAAGTCACAGGTGCCTGGCTTAATAGTCATTTTTTATCAAAACCTTAAAAAATCACATACTGCCTTGCTTCTGTGGATTAGCTTAGTGGAATAGAGCACCTACCTCGATGGTTCTGTTTCTAACACTACTTCCACAAAGGAAAGGTCAACGAAAGATGAGAAAAGGCTGCAAGGCAATTAAAGGCAAAAGGATGTGGTAGCATGTACTGAGAAAATAAACTCAACCCATGTGCCAGGGGCTCACATACATCATCCTAAGATCTGAGGATCATGGTTTGAAGCCAGGTCAGGGCAGGAAAATCCATGAGACTTTTATTTCCAATTAACCACCAAAAAGCCAGAAGTGAAAGTGTGGCTCATGTGGTAGAGTACCAGTGTTGAGCAAAGAAGCTAAGGGACAGTGCCTAGGCCCTGGGTTCAAGCTCCATTACTTCCTTTATTATTTTTTTCTAACTTCAGATGTCAGGTATATGGATGCACAGAGTTTAATTATAGGAGTCTTCAGAGATCAAAACGGGGCTTCATCATTAAGAATAATGGCAAGGCTTGATTTTATTAATGAACGAAGATTGCTTGATGTAAGTCAGAAGGCATGAAAGATGAACAGACATGACATATTATTATACATACAGCTGTCAGTAATAAATTAACATTAGCTCTGGATTCTATACACTTTGCATCCTGAATATACACCTAGAAATACTTCATAATTATAGTTCAGGTCTGAGAAATCATCATAAATTATCCATCTGTCATTCATCCTGAGCTAAAAGCCACAAACCCATGTTATTTCAGTGCTACATATTGATGTCTAAAATCTCTGGTGATATGAGACACACATGTTAATTAATTTCTTACTGAGGGCCCCAAATAGGGCAGAAAATATACTTGGAAGAAGAGGAGAAAGCAGGGTTGACTGTGAAGATTGGGGTTTGCTAACAGCTGTTAGCAACTTCTTTCTTTTGGATCTGAGATGTTAATTTGTTTAGAAAAAGTCCATCAAGAATAGGAACTGGCAGGGAGCCAGTGGCTGGTGCCTGTAATCCTAGTTACTCAGGAGGCTGAGCTCTGAGGATTGCAGTTCATAGTCAATCTGGGCAGGAAAGTCTCCCTGATTCTTACAATTTTAAGTAATTGTATAAACAGGTTTCAGTTACACAAGTCAGATTTTGAATACAATGCCTTTTGGTCAGTACTACCCCTTCCATTGTTCTTCCCCATCTCCCCCAGTATCATTCATACCGTGAGACTCTTTTCTCCAATGAATTGACAAAAAGCCAGAAGTGGAGCTGTGAGTCAAGTGGTAGATCTCCAGCCTTGAACAGAAAAATCCCAGGGAAAGCACTCAGACTTCAATGCCCCCCCTCCCCTGCCCCCTCACCACAAGGACATGCGTCTGTGGTGGTGCCATCTAGTGGCTGACTTGGAATATGTAGTCAAGCCACAAAGCACCACTCTTAGTGGGGCATTTGGCTCTCTGCAGCGAACCCAAACCGGATCTCAGGGCTCTGTTTCAGTTTAAGAGTCTGATTTCTGGCAGAGATTCTCTGGGTGAATGTTGATTTATGTCTGTGACCCAGGAAACCCAGCAGTAGCAGCAGCAGCTGCTACCACAGCAGCAGCAGGCTGGGCATGGAGTTAGAGCAGGGCTGCTTTTTGAGAGTGACAGGAGGCTCCATTCGGGCCTAGTGTGCATATGTCACAGATTTGGGCTGTATCAAAG